ATACAAATACGGAGTATATATGTGACTCTACCAGATTTTTAACAGTATACTATTTTCGTTGAACACACTTCTAGGGTGACGAGAAGGGTGACGAGAAGGGTGACGAGGCGGAGTGGCAGAAATGCCGTCCTGCTTACCGTCCACCTGAGTGGGCTGAATGGAGGTGCTGGGTTCAAGTCCTAGTGCCTGCAGTGGGTTTTTCTCGTTTTTCCCCACTGCCAAGCTCAGGTACTCTTCTCCCTCCCTGGGTAATGGCCCATTCGTGGGGTCCAGTGGTTGTAATAAAGGTTTTTTTCTATTATTTTCAAAAATTTTAATTTTTGAATTTTTTGTAGTTTGTCAAATGATGGTGTCGATTTAAAAAATTAGAGTTTTTCATAGTCTCAGTTTTATTGAGTTTGCTGGATGTAACTCTCTTGGATTTAACCACGTACTCGTTTTTATAATTGATGTCGACAACCACTTTCATGTATTTTGTCCTGGTCAAACTTCGTAAATTATGCAATAACATAATTTGCGGCAATTCGCAAAATCTAGTCTTGAAAATTTATTCGTAGTATTTATTTCGCAATATATTGCATAGGGATATGTAGGTATTTCATAAGCTATATATTTGCTAAATGTGGTGTGATGCACGTTAAATAAGAAATTGTCCTGGGTAGGGCCAATAGAAAGTGATTGAACATATAAAATTTCCTGTACGTAGAATCGTCTAATTTTTTGCCAGAAATTTAAAGTGAAAATTTAGACATGCACCAATTTGAGGTGATTTTTACCAATTCATTTATTTCCCTTGAAGAAACCAGTGTTAGGAGGAAGTCGGAAAAATCTTAGAAAAATTGATATTCAAAATACGTATTTAATTAATACCAATTAATTAATTAATTAATCTCTAAAAATCATTAACCAAAATTTGAAACTTGCTGATTAACTACAGAAGAATTGAAAATCATACCTGTCAGCTTATCCTTAACTTTATCTCTTAGACTTAACAAATTCGCGGCGTCAAAGTTTGCAAATATGTAAAATAAAACTTGAATTATTCTGGTACGCAGAATCTCACGCGGTTTTTGGTAACATCGTAAAATCCATAATTTTTGCAAAGTTCGTTTATAAACTTTTTCTAAACGGGGATTTGCGCATTTAAAGAGCTTAGGAGTTTGTCTCAAAATTTTGGCAAGTATTTTTTAGAAATTTCAAGTAAAGATTAAAATAGGGTAACATAATTATTTATACAGATTTGCGAAATTTGAAAGCTCAGATTTTGCTAATCCCTTCACGGCACAAATTTTTGAGCTTTGCAAGTTTGCTAAATGAGTTGCGATGCTAAATAAGAGGTTGTCGTGAGTATGTTCCATAGTACTTTACAGGTAGAAAATTCTACCGTTTTTGTAGCAAAAAATTGGGCACGTTCCTACTTCGCAAAATTATTTCGCAAACTCATCCTCACCTTCACCAGCGAGAGAAAGTACACAAATGTATGGAAACAATGTCAAAATAGGCGTTTTTCAGTAGATTTTCGAAGTCATCTTTTTTGCTTATCCCTTCACGACACAAAGTTCTTGCGCTTTGCAAGTTTGCTAAATGAGTTGCGATTCGAAACAAACCGTTATCATTCAAGAGTACGCTAATTATTGAAATTATATAATGCATCCAATTAATAATGCAATTGTATTAATTGGATGTTTAAAATTATTTAATTTTATTGACATGTCGAAAATTCTTCCGGTAGAATTAAGCCTCAACTATGATTTTTAGTGAAATATGAAATTTCACAAATTTTATAGAACGGCGCTGCGTATTACAAATAGCCAATTTTATTTTATTTAATCAACAACTGAGGAACTTCGTATTTTGATTTTTGTAATCACGTTTTATCCAGAGAAAATTCTCTTAAATATGCTAAATACAAATCTAAAACTGTACACATTCCTGCCAAAATAACAAACATTTCAAGAATCTCAACATCCCAATTTTAGCAAATTTTACGTCCCGATTTAAATAAACACATGCAAATTAAGCCATTTCAAATTCACGGCATAAAACCAACTTCACCAAAGATAAATCCACTTTTTCCTTCATTCTTGGCCAATTTCCAGTATTTTTCTTCAAAATAAAACAAAAAAAATGTAAATTACTGTCCTTTTTCCCTAAAGATACAAAAAAACACGACGTAAGCAAAAACGCATCTCTCTTGTTCCTTCAGGAGAGGGGCTCTGTACAAAGAATGGCATCGATTTGAGCTCAAGACGTCTAATCTTAAGGTGACCTAATTCTGGCGTAGAATTTTAATCTCACTCTACCCCAATTTAATGTTTTAAAGTTCAAATTTCTAAAATGGCATGAATTTCATGAGATAAATGCGACTTTTTATACTTTAATGAAAAGTTAATTTTTGGTACTGCAAAAATATCGATTAAAAAAAATGACATCTGTCGCAATAGACTTTTAATCTCACTCGACCCCAATTCAATGTTTTTAAACTCAAATCTCTAAAATGGTATCAATGTCATGAGTTTTGAAATAAATGTAACTTTGTATGCATACTTTAATGCATTAAAATTAACGAGTTAATTTTTGGTACTGGAAAACTATCAATTAAAAAACACTATTGAGCTCATTTGTTAGGAAGTTTATTGTGAAAAAAGGCAAATTTATTAGCAATTTTTTTTTCAAATCGAGTTTTGTAGTAAAAAAAGTAACTTTCCCTTATTGTATGAAATGTTGCACTTATCTAAGTGATGCCATTTTGGAAATTTCCATTTAAGGCTATTGAACAGGGGTAGGTGAGATTAAAAATCTTCATCATTCTATGAAACCTTAATCACAGCAGGTCTACCAAAATTGTCTGAAAAAGATCCCATCCTTTATGTTCCGTCCTGCACGCATCGAGCCATAAATTATTGTCAAGAACTGCAAACACAAAACTATCCTCAAGAGCTTTCTCTAAAGAAAATCTCTCTCCCGGCTTATACATACATAAAATCGAAAAGTTACCTATTTTACAATGTGGCAATTCACGCAGGCCTTGGTAACATTGTAAAATCCATAAATTTCGCTAACTTAAAAACTTCTACAAAATTTTACAAATATTTTGAAGGAAAATTAACTTTTTATTAATGACAAATTTGGCACGCAAAAACAAATTAGTATTAATAATTTTAATATTAATATTATTATGGTATATGGTATTAATATTGGTATTAATAATAATCTGTACATTAAGGAAAATCAGGTTTCAAATAAATATATGCTAAAATCTTCTTGTGAAAGTTTACACAGTTTATGAATATCGGACGCTTGAAGTATTTGCAACTTGGGAATATGGGGCGAAACAAAGACTCACCTTTTGACGAAAGTAATTATTAATAAAACATAAATTTTTAAATATCGACACTATTATTAAGCAATTTTCTAAAAATGAAATAAGTTTCCTAGGTGTTTTTATTTTACAGAATGATCTATTATAAAAGTTCACTTCGATGTTTCTAATCGAGTATGTAAATTAACTACCCTCACCACAAGGGTTATTTAGGGAATTCACGCAGTCCTTGGTAACACTGTATGATTCGTAAACTCTGTAAACTTAAAAAACTTTTATCTATTCCTGAGGAAAATTAGCTTACAAATTTTTGGAAACTTACTCAGACCAAGGGCGTGAACAGATTTTAATTTTGTCTTATAAAACTTATGCATTTTACAATTTGCCAAGGCCTGTGTGAATTGCCTGATTGTAAAACACACACCTTTTGGGACACGCTGTTAAGAAAACGGGTAATAAACTGGTAATAAGTTCATTACCAAATTGGTAGTAATTTATTATCATCAAAACAAACTATTAACTAACTGCATACTCGTATCTATTACCAAATTGTGTAACAAACATCACATATTCGTGTCAAATTGACATTAATCTTTGTGAAAAATTTAAAAATAGTCACATGAAAACGAAACTTAAACGGAATTGCGTTAATCAAAAATGCAACGATTTCCATCTTTTTCCTATTTCCCCTTTCATAAAACGTCAAAGTTACAAATTGATCAAGATAAAATTTAGTTCCATTTTATTAATAATGAAATCCGGACAATGTAAATGATGTCATTGCCGCGGAAAAAAATGAATAACCATTAATTTTTGTGATACAATTAAATATTTGCATGTTGATATTTTATGTCATGCTAATCCTGATGACATGATATATTGGGCAATTCACGTCAATCTTTCTAAGTCCGTAATCACGTAAATTTACAAAATTTTTGAGACAATTTGGGAACATTTCCAAAGAAATTTTTGCTTACGAACTTACAAAATCTGACGGAGATAAAAAAAATTCACGCAGTTGTTTGTAAATCCGGTAAACCGTTTTTACGGCGAAGTTTTTTGTATTATCAAAAAATTAGATGTTTTCGAAAAATTTAAAATTTTGCTATTTCAGGGCTAGTTTACTTTCGTAAACTTCACAAAAATTATTTTCATTAAAAAAAATAATACGTAAATTGTGGTTTAACGCCAGATGGGAAATATTTTGATATTCGATTATCACAAATTAATAAATAAACAGATATTGCCGTGTAGAATTAGAATTTTAAAGTTGAAAATATAAGGCTTTTTGTGTCATCAAAAGTTAGATGTTTAAAATTAAAACTCTGAGGCAATTCACGTCAACCTTCGAAAATCCGTAACCACGTAAACTTGCGAAATTTACAAACTATGTGCAAATTTTATTTACGAAGTTGCAAAACCTTACGAATATAAAAGCCATGTTTTCCGATTATAAGCTGATATTCGTAAGTTTACGGAATTAAGAAGGTTGACATGAAGTTCCTAAATGTCCATTTTCATTGAAAAGTACATACTTATAATGACAATTGAAATACTGATTTTACAATAGATTAGAGATTTTAGATCCGCATATTTAGATATTTGCGTCAACAATTATTATATGCATTTCATTTCATAATTGGAAGGTTTGCAGATATGGTGAAATAAAATTTTGTGGTGCGTGATACACGTAGAAATTGCATTTTTTTTTAAATTGCATAACTTTTGGATTATCAATTCGCTCGGATGTTTTGTTAATTGTAAAAAGCTATTAAAATTCATATCATAAATTTAGAATTGCTCAGTAACATTCCACTTTATGACCCCTACTGCACCTTAAAAATACCAATTCTATCTCAATTTTATTTATTGGTTAAGAAATTTATCAATTATTTTGTTTCGCAAAAATCCGATAAAAACAGATTTTTTTACAACGAATTAACTCGTGTCTTATCAATCCATAAATTTCCACAAATCAGGGTTTGACTTACATAGATTAGAAATTTTACGAAAATTTATACACTGAAATTTACAATTTTCCATATTTTGTAAAACTTTATGCAATAATTTATTTGCAAAGGATCAAAAAATTTGAATCCGTGATTTCTGAAATTTCCCAAATTTGTTTTGGCGGAAAAATTGTATCTAAAAATTTGATCGAAGTCCAGCTCTACGAATTTTAAAAATGTGTTCCGTCAGCAAATTACAACTAATAATTTTGCTGGGAGGGTTTTACCTCGTGGAGAAAATTTATTGCCAGGATCCAGCAATTGCACAGTTAACTACGAGAGTTACAACGGTTAATAATACGGCAAGTAAGTGAATTATCGAATAATAAGGCAATTCACGCAGACTTCGGCAACTTTGTAAAATCCTTAAATTTACAAAAGTTTGCAAAAATTTCTAGATAGAAAATTAGCGTACAAATTTTTGTAAACTTATTCCAATCCAGGACGTATTTTTACTTTGTAAAACCTTACAAAAATTATTTTACAAAACTAGCGAACCTTACAAGGCTACCAAGCACGTTGAGAAATTTTTAAATAATTTGCATATATTTCGTACATGTTTCTTTCACAAATATTTTACAACATAAAAAACATGCCAAATTGCTGAGTGAAAGATTCTCGCGAAATTTCAGTAAAACGCTTTGCGAAATCTGAATTATTTAATAAAAAACGTTGCAAAGTTATATAAAAAAGCAAATCCATTTAAATTAAAATTAGCCTTAAAATTTTGAAAATCTCTAAAATTCATTACTTGAATCTGTAACTAATTAAAGTTTCCCTCCTTAATTTCCCAGTGGCAAACAAGAACGCCATAGCATCACTTACAACTCGTTTCAACACCTTTCAAAATCAATATTATGCTGAATATGAAGATGTTAATCAGAGAATTTACGCGATAACGATGAACTTGACGACCGTCTACGGAACTCTGGACCAGCACACGGCCGCCATTTCAGCCCTGTCGTTAGCATTGGATGAAGCAAATTCAAAAATAACCGCGGCAAATGAGCTAATTGCCAAATTACAGGGGGCAAATCAAGTCTGGATCAGTAATTGGCGCGTGGTTAACAAAACTTTTGCCGAGTTGAGGAAAAAATTGAAATTTGTGGTGCCTCGTGAAATCATTCGGGTTGGGCAGGTCGGATAAGCAGGGTTTTTTGCGTAATTTGGTAATCTCAATTAAATAGATAAATACACTCAAAATAAAAATAAGTAAAATTTACTCAAGGTTGATTAAAAAGGAGAATTGCACAAGTAAAAGATAAAATTTTGTGCAAAATTTGCAAAAAGTTGCGTAATCCAACGGGAGGATAAATTTTGCACAGCCTTGGATAAATTTTACTTTTTGGTTCTACAATCATCTTTTTTACTCAACCTTGAGTAAATTTTACTTATTTTTATTTAGAGTGTAGGGTTTCCTTTATAAGAATATAAAAATGTAAGATGTTCACCTACTGTAATACGATGTAAATTTGTTTTCGTGTGTTATAACTTATTAAAATTTCACCATATTTTTTGCAATATTTTCAAAAGTTTTTTCGAAATCCATTTTTTAAAAAAATATTTCAGCAGTTACACGATGTATTGAAACACATGTATTATTAAAAAACGTAACTACGTCATATCTTGTTTTTGATAAATGCATGTTCCGAATTTAAAAGAATTTCACTAAAATAAAAATGTACTGCAATCTGCCAAGTATTATTTCAAAATATAAATGAGAATTTTGAAAGTAGCTATTTTTTTAATTTACAAGTAATGTTGTTGGGAAATAGGTACTTAAGTTAGCTACTTAAGTTGAGTTTGAGTTAGCTACTTAAGTTGAGAAATCGGGATGACTGACTTTTGAATGAATAAAATTTTTCTCAACAGGTATGATTAAATTCGACTATACGAAATTTAGGTAACAGAGTTGCAACGTCAGTCATACTTTGAAACCTTTTGAAATATTTTTTGGAAAATATAACACAAAATAATTTAAAGGTCGCCGTTTGATCGCCGTTCGATGTTGAGGTCGAGGTTTTTTTTACACCATTACCTAATCTGCATGCTGTACTTTGAATGAAAAAAGTTTTTTTTGAACAGGTATGAGTCATTGGTAACTTTGTCAAATCGATAATCTTTATAAATAATATTACTAAATTTTACAAAATAAAAAGACGCCTTTGATCTGATCCTTAATAAACATGTAAAGATTTGTAAACTTATTTTTCTTAGAAATATGTGTAAAATTTTGCAAAATTTTGTATAATTTCACAGAATTTACGGATTCTACAAAATTAGTAACAACTGCTGTTTCATTTTTTGTCTAGACCCACGCTGAATTACATTTTTTGTCTAGACCCACGCTGAATTACATTTTTTGTCTAGACCCACGCCGAATTACATTTTTTGTCTAGACCCACGCCGAATTACATTTTTTGTCTAGACCCACGCTGAATTACATTTTTTGTCTAGACCCACGCTGAATTACATTTTTTGTCTAGACCCACGCCGAATTACATTTTTTGTCTAGACCCACGCTGAATTACATTTTTTGTCTAGACCCACGCTGAATTACATTTTTTGTCTAGACCCACGCTGAATTACATTTTTTGTCTAGACCCACGCCGAATTACATTTTTACAATAGTTAATCAATAAAACGTTAGAAAAACTAGATCAATGCGTTCCAAATAACAAATAAATAAACGTCCACACCAAATATTTAGAAAAGGGCTCGAAATATGTAAGAAAATATGTGTATTTACGAATAAACCTCAAAATATATAGGAAAATATGTAAAATATAGAAAACTATGTTTGAATTTTTAAAATCATGCTTCGATTGGATGTAAGTCTACCAAGTTTTAGTAAGATCTGATTGGGAATAAATAAGTTAGAAATACATACATATCCGCCCTTCACCCTTTGATGTTTACACTGTCACAAAAGTTAGTAAAGTGAAATAAATGTTTTTCCTCGAAAACTTTAAGCCAGAAATAAAATTTTCATCAATTTTGGCCACGCAATGTTTAATTTTTGTAACTTTTTTTCGAAATTTGTTCACTTTTCTCTACTGGTTAATATTACTTGCTATATTTTTGTACGGGCAAATTTAACGCGCAATTTGAAACCACTTTTCGCCCCTATTTCAACCACTTTCTCCTCAAAATCGGTACTAAATAAAACAAATAAGTTGATCCCAACCAATCACACACGCACACCGTTTCAATTTCATCCACTCACTTTCACTTTGATCCCTCAGTTATCTGATCAGCCTTATCGGCATTCTTACTTTTTCAAAATATTACAGGAATCACGTTCATCCAATCTACGAATTTAAAGTATTCAAATTTGTTCATTCTATGTTATAATCGAAAAATAAATTATTTCCGGTAATAAAACAAACTGAAATCGTGTCCATTTTTCATTCTCGGTCACGTATACGTGCTTTCTCTTCATCCGGATTGATGAGTAAAGTACTCGAAATTCTCTACCCATACTTTCACCACTTTCTCCATCTGAAGATCTGAAAGTAAATAATACAAAAATCTTGCCAAGCTTTTCTCAAATTTTCGATTTCTTATACATACTTCAATTTGTTATTTCCTGTTTTTTTTATACATTCACGCAGACATTTATAATCTAATAAAAATGTATATGTTTTTCTGTACAGTAAGGAAATTCTGGTTTTGAATAAATATACAGCCTAAAATATGCAAAAATATGAAAAATGTTACACAGTTTATTAAATCGAATCAAAAAAATCGATTCCAGAACCGTTTACCTACATATCATACCGATCATTAACAAAAATTCAAAATTTGAAATATCGACACCACTGTTAAGCACAAATTTCATATAAAGTTTCCTAATTGTCTATATTTTCCAAAATCACTATGAAAATTCACTCCGATGTAATCGAATATATGTAAATTAGGCTCACACCAAGAGTTTTAAAATGAGGCAATTCACGAAAAATTCAGGCAAAATTGGTACGTTTTGTAAAATAATTATACAACCATTTACAAATAAAAAGACGCCCTTGATCTGAGCGAGTTTATAGAAATTTGGGAGCTAATTTTCCTCATAAATCTTTGTAAAATTTTGCAACTTCACAAAATTTACGGATTTCATAAAATTCATGTACTATTTCGCTCGAAATGGATGACCTTCAATACTTATGGAACATAACTTTCCCAGAAAATTTATTTCGACGTTGATATTGTCTTGAAAACGAACTTTTATAAAATAAAAAGACATCCTTGATCTGAGCAAGTTGACAGAAATTTGGGAGCTAATTCTCCATAGAAATTTTTGTAGAACTTTGTTAAAGTTTGTAACTGTGCGGATTTTATAAAGTTACCAAGGACTGCGTGAAATCCCTCACTGCCAGATAGATTGGTAAACTAGAACGGAATATTGTTCCCACTTTCATTAAATAAAATCTCATCGAAAACAACGCAAACAACTTGATCCACATCTTTCTTTTTCTCTTGTCATCCACTCTCCACTTATTCCGTGATTCCACCTGATATTTACCTTGCTCTCCATACTCATTTAAAAAATTATCCTTTAAATCACGTTCATCCAGCTAAGATTTTACACCTGTTCCATTTCTTCCTTTTTGTGTGAAGACTTGTTGAAACTGAAACAAATCTTTCCACTTCAGATTTGAGGGAATCATCCCTATTTTTCATTGCTGGTCAGGTACGTGCTTTCTCTTCCCTCTTGTGTCTCTAACATACTTATTTCATCCTAAAATGTAGTATCACCTACACGAAATACTTATTTCCCCATCACATTTGTGAAAAATGGTAACTCAAAGAATTTGATCCAGTGTAAATAATCACACCTTTAACCCCTCACTCAAATTCTCCTTTTCCTGACTGTTTCAATCATAAAAATAATGGAATAAATTATGAATTTTGTATGTTAAACTCATGCTTCGTGCATAAGTACTTTCTCCGGGTACATTTTCTATTCTCAAATTAAATAGATCACCGTCCTTCATATGCAAAATTTCCATGGAAATCTTAAATCCAGTATTAAAATTGTATATACCAAAGTAGTATTCATATATGACTATATATCAATGTGGTATTGATAAGAAGTACTGTGTAGGGATACCTCGGTATTAAAATTTTACCATATCGGTAGCAAATTTGTATGGTCCCGTATAATTTTAATACCAAGCGGTTACACATTTTGCAAAATGTGAAGAATTTGATTAAAGTAATTTAACAAGAATTTGTGAAATTAAGACGCCGAAATTAAAAGGTTTACGTTTCTATATTCAAATATCAATTATGGAGATACAATATTCCTCAGAAATCATGTATTAATATGCGGTATTCATATGATTCTGCAACGGTGGTATTGATAAGTTATAATACCGTGTAGTAGCATCTCAGTGTTAAAGTTTTACCATGTCGGTAGTAAATTTCTATACACCAGTATAATTTGCAATACCAAGCGGTAACAACTTTAACACAGAGAAATCAATAGCTGCCTGACTATACCAGATTTCTAACAGTGTGTGATGTGACAGAATCATTTTACATGGTGAGATTTGGTCAAGGTGACGGCTTTCACTTAATTCGCACCTAACCTGTCATTCCCACTTTTCCCTCGCAACAAGCGTGCGTAGGCGATCACATTCCATAAAACACATCAAATATCAATCTTCCCAGAAAACAAATAAACTGCGACATGATCACACGGACGAAATCATGAAGCACGTTTAGAGGGCCATGCAGAAAGAAGGTCATCCATTTTGTGGTATAATATATTTATACCAAAATTTAAATAAATCTGTTACAGAATGGGTTTAATAAGGCAATTAGTCATACAGTCATTTGTAACTTTTAAAAATATGTGCGTTTGGTAAAATAATTTTAGAAATTTTGACAAAATCATCTGTGGTCTGAGCAAGTTTATAAAAATTTTGGAGCTAATTTTTGTTCTAAATATTTGTATAGTTTTGTTAAGGTTTGTAAGTTTACAGAATTTAACGATCTTACAAAGCCTGTGTGAATTGCCTCAATGTAAAAGTCTTATGATGGTAGTAATTTGCATCGGATAGATCAGAAACATTGCAGAGAATTTCCATCGTAATTCTGTAAAATAAAAAAAAACTGGGAAACTTATTTTGTTTTCATGAAATTGCTTAATAATAATGCCGATATTAAAAATTTTGAATATATCTTAATACAAAGTTTGTTCCTTTCCATAGGTTACCATTCCACGGACTCGGTATGTTGACCTTAGGATAGGAATAAGTTCACGCAAGTATTCGTAAACCGTATAAACTTTCACTAGGGGATTTTAAGATATATTTACTTATTTTAAACCAGATTTGCCAAGTTTTTATTAAATTGCAAGCTTCTGCGTGAAGTCTTGATTACCGTAGATTTTTAAAAATCTGGTAGAGCCACATATTTAGCCTGTACTGGTAATGATTTGATAATGTTTTCCTATCGGAGTGGTAGTAGTTTGTTTCTGAGTGGTAAATTTTTTATTACCACACCATCTCTAAATGGTAATACGCTTTATTTCCAGTGCAGGTAAAGTAATACATTTCCTCCGGTGAGTAATGATTTAATACCAGTTTCCTAAGAGTGTAAATTTCCGAAAATTTCCGAAAAAATCGGTGACATCTTTTCTGCCCTGGGCCATCTCTTCTATTCCTGTCCGCGCGGTCCAGTCCACTCATGCAAAGGCAAACAAGATCAAAGAGAAATTCAATCCGACCACGAAATCCGTCCTTCGGGCAGGAAGAAAGTAAGCAAATAATAAATAAATCCCGGCCAGACACTCGATTCGACTGGACCCACTCCGCTCCTCCCGATGCGAATGGGAATCTGATCGTCAAAGTGAAAGTAACCGAGTGAATGGAAGCGAGCAAATAAATATGTATTGCAAATATTCACGATTTATGCCAAATTTTCCAATAGGGCGAAACTGTAGGACAGGGTTTGGACAAGAAGAAAGTGCAAATTATTCATCAATCAATGGCAAATTTGTAGAAAATTTAGGCACGAATAACTTTTAATTAGTTTTTAATATGAAATTGAAGCATGATTTTTGCAGGGTTTTATGCAAAAAAATGCAGGTAGGTATGCATAAATTTTATGATAGAATACAGGAAATTCACGCGGACCTTGGTAACTTTGTAAAAGAGTGAAAGTAACCGGGTGATAGAAGCCAGTAAATAAATATGTATTG